TAAATGGCCGAAAAAGGTGGCTTATAATTCCGGGAAGAGTACTCGAACTCCAGACCGGCCGCTCAAAGAACAGCGGAAGCGCTAACTGAGCTAGTATGTGTATGTGTGTTCTGAAACACCCACCATCCTTGTATGTACTCACAGACGCGAAGGATGTACCCAAGATTCATTGACTACCACCGGGGGTGTGAATGGTTTTTTTGCTAGTATTTGAAATTGTTTGTTTATCATTTTCCCCACAAACTAGTCCATAAAAAAGGGATATATGCAAAAAGATTTCCATTTTCGAGACTTTCATCATTTTCTATAATTTTTTGTCAACATGGGCATCCAAGTGCCAACAATGACTTTTTTATGAAGGAAGTCCCTAAAATAAGTTAAAAATTTGGGCATTTTCATTTTTCATCAAAACTATGTCACGTTGGATGCCCATTGACCAAGTTTTATTTATTTGAGAGTGTCATTGCTATATTTCATCGATTTACTAGATTTCTAATGAATTATCAGAACTTGCTTAAATTTGAACTACAGCTGTGATGTAGATTGGTCTTGAAAATTGAAAAAAAAATCATTTTAGCCTTTAATGTTGGTGGTGCATGCACTTGGGACAACCAAAGGTGAAATTGCAAACCATTTGGTATGAATGGCCAACCTTTCTAGTTTGACTCCATTTTGAAAAAAAAATCAAAGAAAATGGAAAAAGACTCAAAAATTGAAATGCTTTTGCATTGAGCCTTCTTATGTGCACTAGTTTATGGGGAAAACAACAAGCTTGCAATACCACAAATTTGAAAAGAAAACCTTCACAAAATGGCCTACCTAGTATGAACATGCATGGAATTCAAGGCATATGGGCATGCCATGCATGGTCACATGCATGGCATAGTCCATGATAACATGGTCACATTTGGCACAACTATGGGTGTTACCATTGTGAACAATGTTGCAATAGGAATTATGATTTTTTATAATATTTGTTTTCCATTTTCCAAGTGCGAGAAATGACTTTTGTGTGAAGGAAGTGTCTGAAATAAGTTTGAAAATTGGGCCTTTTCATTCTTCATCAAAAGTATGTCATATTGGATGCCCACTAACCAAGTTTCATGAATTTAAGAGTGTTATTGCTATATTTCATTCATTTACTGGATTCCTAGTGAATTATCAGAACTTTCTCAAATTTGAATTACAAGTGTGATGTAGTTTGGTACTAAAAATTGACAAAAATCATTTTATGATTTAATATTGGTGATGTATGTACTTGGGACAACTAAAGTTGGAATTAAAAACCATTTGGTATGAATGGTTAACCTTCCTAGTTTGATCCCATTTTGAGAAAATCAAAGGAAATGAAAAAAGACTCAAAAATTGGAATGCTTTTGCATTGAGCCACCTTATGTGCAATAGTTTGTGGGAAAAATAATAAACTTGCAATACCACAAATTTTAAAAAATATCTTCACAAAATGGCCTATCTAATATGAGCATGCATGGAATTCAAGGCATATGGTCATGGTCATGGCCACATCCATGGCATAGTGCATGATAACATGGCCAAATTTGCACAACAATGGGTGTTACCATTGTGAACAATGTTGCTATAGGAATTATGATTTCTTTATAATATAAAATATATTATAAAAGAGAACATTGTGTCATTGGCACCCTTGGTGTTCGCCATGAAGACCAGGGCACGTATGCATTGGCTGGCCACGTATCTGCCATTGCCAACAACTACATGTACCACTTGGTAAATCCACTAGATACCTCCATTCCTTGTTTTTACTGTCTGTATATGTCATCTCTTCCTCATAGGTTGAGCATATCCTCTAGCTTTGCATGCAATGCCTTAATCACATATGAGAGTATGGCATGGCCAACATATTGTGTATATGCAACTCTTTTGCGCAAATCTATCTTTATCATCAACATATGCCTGGTATTGTCAAATGTTTGTCACAACATAAGCCCTTTCGTTGACTTAATCTTTGAATTAAAACACTCTTCAAGGTTACTGGTCACATACTCTACCTTGTGTATTTCATCGAACCTGCTTTTTGACCACACATTTCCATGATGTGATTCAGTGTATTCCTACACCAAAGGATTCTCGGTGTACAACACTCTTAAGTGGTGCTCGTGCTTCCTGAAGTTGCATGTGTATGATGTTGGCTATAGGTTCTCGTCATAAACTCCCCCCTAAGTTCCTTGTAAAATTAGCAGCTAGTTGTCGCATACATTCCCTATGCTCCACTTCAGGGAACACCACTTCTATTGCAATCCCTAAGCCCTTGCAATCATCTATGTATAGCCAACCATGGTGGATGCCATATAATGTTGCGTAGATGGCCACCTAGAGTCCTCATTGTGACGTTTCATGAATCCATTCCTAAAATGACCTAAGCTCTTCCTTTGGCACAATCCACCCACATCCATAGGATATGTACCTCCGTTAGTTTGCCATTACTCACTAAACCATCTTGGATGGTTCTCCGACAAGCGATCTCATCTCTCCACGCCGGATATCTAGCGCGTCCACTCACCTCCGATAGTTTGCATGTGTGCTCAACGGTGGTGGGGGTGGGGGTGATTTTCACAAAGTGTGTTGTTTGTTCTTTATAGGTATTGGTGTCCAAGCAGCGGAGCCATGGTGGTGATGTCGTTTCCTATAAGTAAGTCCTTTGGCTCCTTCCTGGTCATGGAGGCATCTTCTTTGATGTCGGAATGGAGCCATCGAGGATGTGTTCTCATGGGTCAGGTCATCCAGATGTCGTGGGTCCCATTTTGCCATCTTTATCCACACCCGCTAAGTTAGGACCAAGTCTCGATCGACATGCGAATAGTGAAGCCTTTGTCTCGTTGTAGGCGAGTTCCTAGTACTGTTTATAAAGCCTCTTGAAGGCGATTCAGGCTGGCACATGCCATATAAAGCCTCCTGAAGACAATTCAGGCCGGTGTAGATTCTATGTACAAAAATGTGGCAGTTAGGGTCTCACTGTATCTTCTTCTCAGAGAAGGGTCGCCTTGTATCCACTTGTATCTCGTTGTTGAGTAGTTTCTAGTATTACTAGTAGACTAGAACATGGTTCATGCATTACTACGAAACCACAAAAATGATTCAACTGCATTGTATTAGTTGTATACAAGAAGAAACTGCATCCTGTAATACTATGAGAAGAAACTCAATTAAGTAGCCAACGCCGCACTTGCGTAACTATGGCAGCGATGAGAGCACCATTGCAATATAGTATGATTTTATTTTTCTCTCATCAATTGGAGGGTCTGGTGGGTTCTAGATGGATGAGGAAGATAGGGGTGGCTCGGGGGAGAGAACTCACCACCAACTCCAATTTATAGGATAGTAGAGACATGTAGTTATTTTTTGAAAAAAAAAGTACGGCTAGGGTAAATTCTCCCTTCTGGACTTCGCCGTCGAGCCCGTGGATTCGCCTCCCCTCTGCGCCGCTCTAGAGGCCGGTGGCGGGGAGGGGAATCCCGGTGCCTCCGCCCTAGTTAGTAGTTTAGGTTAGGGTTTTTTAGTTCTTGCAGGTGCGACGGACGGATGGTGAAACTTCTTCTTCGAGTTTGTCTTTCGGACTCCGATCCTCCTCGAGTCCATTCATCTGAACGTAGTCGACAGAGCTCCAGCGTAGACTCCTGCAACCTCCTTTGGACAGTGAGGTTAGGGTTTCTCGTCATGTGGCGAGATTTGGTGTCAGGTGTTTCAGATCTATTCAGGGGGTTCAACGACGACACTGCGACTCCAGGGCGCTGGTCCTTAGGGTCACGTGCATGAAGACTTCCCGACTGTCATCGACAAGGTCAAGCCGGCTCCGGTAGGGGAGCGGCAATAGCGGCGCGTCGGCGGCTCATTCTAACGACGGTAGCGGTGTTTGGTGGTCTCAAAATCTCAATGTAATTTTTATCATGCTTGAGGTGGTTTGTACTTCCGGTGAACTTTGATTATAGATCTGAATCATTTTCGCAAAAAAGAAAATTACAATATAGATTGCCAAAACGGTATTCTCTGAAGGGAAAATGGACGATTACAAAAAAGGAAAATAGAAAATAGCTCTTTTAGGGCGAACTAAAAAGGAAAAAAATTTACTTGCGTGCTCCTTGGATGCTCGCTACGCTAGCAAGTAGCAAGAAAGCAAGCAACCGAAAAAAAAATACCAGGAATTCGCAAAAAAAAAAACACACACCAGGACATGTGCTCTGTTGCCGCCGCTGCAATAAACAAACGAATTACTGCTCCAATCAGGGATGGAAAGTTCTGTCCTGAAATTAACAACGCGCGAGCACATGCTCTCATGCTAACACAAAGGAAATTACACCGCCAGCTAAGCAGTTAACTACATTCGGAAAAAATAGCAGTTAACCAAACTTTCTTTTTTTTCTCCCTGCAACAAGCTGCCCGGCAAAGTTTCGTCCGGTCCGGCGATTCGCCGACGGACGGCCGAGATCCGGCGCCTTCGCCACCAAGTGGAGCGGCGGACGGACCAGATCGCCCGACCTCCCACCAGCTCCACATGACCCAGGCCCGGTCCGGCGGTTTTACGCGCGGAAATGAAAAGGAAGAGAGATCAGATCACCGCACGGGACGGGACGGGGGATCCATCCGTCGCTGTTGGTGTTGTGCTCCGGCTGCCTTTGCGGCTGCCCACGCGCGCCGCACGTGCGCTGCCTCCGCCACGGCGCCACGATCGCCGCCCCCTTCCTCTCCCGCGGCTACTGTTGCGCTGTTTATGCTTACCACCTCCGCCGAGCTAGCTACGACATGCCGCCGCTGCCCCGCTCACTCCACAGTCACGGTCAACTAACCGTCCACGGCGGATGACAGGTGGGGCCGGCCCACTAGTCATGGTCCGCTGATCCTGTCTGGCGTCGCCGGGATAACTAATCACGTGGTTAAAGTGGAAGAATTCTGCCGAGTGGCTTATTACTGCCACCACCAGCTGGGCGAGCGCCGGACGGGGGGGAGCTCGAGCTCCGCTGCTGCTAATGGCGGAGAGCGACGGCGGCGAGGCGGACCCCGGCGCCGGCCGCGACGACCCGGCCCCGCGCCCGCAGCGGCCGCAGCTCGCCAAATCGCGCACCATCGCCGGCTCCGCCACCGCGGCCGCCGCCGCCTCCGCCGAGATAAGGCGGGGCGGGAGGGACGGCGGCATCCTCGCCCGCCGCTCGACCACAACGGCGGCGGCGCCCCTCCCGCAGGTGCCCAGGCGGCTCACCGTCGCCGTGGACGACCCCTCCCACGCGGCGCCCAACGCCGGCGTGCTCGACCGCGACTGGTGCTACCCGTCCTTCCTCGGCCCGCACGCCTCGCGCCCGCGCCCGCCGCGCCAGCAGCAGACGCCGCCGCCCGCCGCCGCCGCCGCCGCCCCCGCCCGCCGGAACCCTAGCAGCAATCCCGCCACCACGCGGAGGGTGGCGGCCTCGCAGCGGGACGAGGAGAAGTCCCTGGCCTCCGTGGTCAAGCAGTCCGCGCTGCTCGGGGAGAGGAGGCCGCTCTCGCCTCCGCCCCCGCCGCCGCCGCGCGCTCGCGGATTCGATCTCTCGCCGTACTGCCTCCTGCTAGTAAGCAATGCCATTTAAAGCTCCAGCCTTATTTGCAGCAGCTGACTTACTATTCTGGTCCATTTCCCCCGTGAATTAATTGCTGCAGTTGCTGGTTGTAACCGTCACAAGCTCTTCCCTGGCCTTCTGGCAGTGGATGAAAGTGCTGGGACTCCAGGTACTCCCTATTTCACCTGTCAAAATTTGTGTGGTGCCAGTTGGTTTCACCATAACTGATCTCGCTGACAGCTTATAAGCACTTGCATCTTTGCAGGAAAAGGTCAGATCATGCAGTGGTGGTGCTGATGCTGTGGACAGTGAGGAAACTGCTGAGACATCCTGGGTTCTGGGGGACCCTGGTTCCGGCTTTGTTAGCTCCGAGAGCTGGAAATTAGCTCCGATGTTTGCTGTGGCAATACCGATATTCCTTTTTAAATACGCTGACCAGCTGCGGCGTAAGAAAGAAAATTCCAGCAGGGCGAGAAGCACCGAGGAAGAAGTGCCTCTCGAGAAGCGGATTGCTTACAAGGTTGATGTGTTCTTCTCAGGGCATCCGTATGCGAAGCTGCTTGCCCTCCTGATCGCCACTGTAGTTCTCATCGCCTCGGGCGGCATTGCGCTGTATTCTGTCAGTGGCAGTGGGTTCCTGGAGGCTCTTTGGCTTTCTTGGACTTTTGTGGCAGATTCAGGAAACCATGCTGACCAGGTTGGCCTCGGTCCAAGGATTGTGTCCGTGTCGATTAGTGCCGGTGGCATGCTGGTGTTTGCCACGATGCTCGGGCTTGTGTCAGATGCCATATCGGAGAAGGTAGATTCTTGGCGTAAGGGGAAAAGCGAGGTGATAGAGGTCAACCATATACTAATCCTCGGATGGAGCGACAAGCTGGTAATGTTCTGATGAAATATTGCTTTAGTATCAATAATAAGTAACAATCCTTGTAAGAAATGTTATGTATGCTGACATGTAGGGTTTTATATTTTAGGATTCAACACACATTAAGCTTTCAAGACTTGATTCTGTATTTTAAATTCCATTTTAGACAAACCAACTTCGGAATTTAAATGTTGGTCTTTTTTCACCATTTTTAGTCACTTTATGCACTTCATTTTGTACATTATCCTCCAATCTTGCTGAGGGAAGTTGTGCACTGAGCACTGAGGTTTATTTGCTTGCTTGGGTATTGATAAAGACTGAATCAACTGGTTTACTACTTTTTTCACTATGTGGAGCAGGGCTCTCTTCTGAAGCAGCTAGCTATAGCGAATAAAAGCATTGGTGGTGGTGTAGTTGTTGTCCTGGCAGAAAGAGACAAGGAAGAGATGGAGATGGACATAGGAAAGCTAGGATTTGACTTCATGGGAACATCTGTAATATGTAGAAGCGGCAGTCCTCTAATCCTAGCAGATCTGAAGAAGGTACCGAGCTATTCTTCTGATCTTCCACTATGGATACACTCCTCGGATGGTTTCTTTTCCTGCTATGTGTTATGTAAATATCTACCTGAAATGCCCTTTCCTCCCCACAGGTTTCTGTTTCCAAAGCACGTGCTATTATTGTTTTAGCATCTGATGAAAATGCAGACCAAGTTAGTATTTTCTTCTATCCACCTTTACTATTTTGGGGTTAACAGCTCATATAATTATTTGCTCAACGTTCATTTTCTCCATTCCCCCCCAGAGTGATGCACGAGCTTTGCGTGTCGTACTGAGCCTGACTGGAGTAAAAGAGGGCTTAAGGGGGCATATTGTTGTAGAGATGAGTGACCTTGACAATGAACCTTTGGTGAAATTGGTTGGAGGTGAACTAATTGAAACAGTTGTTGCCCATGATGTCATTGGACGTTTGATGATACAGTGTGCACTCCAACCTGGCTTGGCACAGGTACATTTCAATGTAACACTTGGTTCTCCAGTAAGAAAGAAAAGAAACAAAATCTTTGAGCCTGGCATACTAAACTGCAATGCTGTTTGGTCCTGTATTTTTGCCCGGGATGTATCTACATGATTGCTAACCCACCATATTCTTTTGCAGATATGGGAGGATATTTTGGGATTCGAAAATGCAGAGTTCTATATAAAAAGATGGCCAGAATTGGATGGCATGCGGTTTGGGGATGTGTTAATCTCATTCCCTGATGCTGTGCCCTGTGGAGTGAAGCTTGCGTCAAGATTTGGAAGTATATTAATGAATCCGGATGATGATTATGTTTTAAGAGAAGGTGATGAGATCCTTGTTATAGCAGAAGATGATGATACTTATGCACCTGCTCCTCTACCAGAGGTTAATTTTCTGAGTTATGGTCTCTTTGTATCAACTATCATCAAGCCTGTCATACTTCCCAATAAAAAAATTCTATTCACTTAGATTTTTATTTGATCTATGTTATTTCTTGCCAGGTGCATAAGGGTTTTCTACCTAACGTTCCCACCCCTCCTAAATATCCAGAGAAAATTTTGTTCTGTGGTTGGCGACGTGACATCCACGATATGATAATGGTAAGTTAACCTGCGCATTTTGGCAGGATCGATGTACGTTTACGCACATTTTGGATATGAATGTTGGCGCTGTTGTGTAGGTTCTAGAAGCATTTCTTGCTCCAGGTTCTGAATTGTGGATGTTCAATGAGGTGCCAGAGAAGGCGAGGGAGACAAAACTGACTGACGGTGGTATGGATATTCTTGGACTAACAAACATTAAACTTGTACACAAAGAAGGGAATGCTGTCATCAGGCGGCACTTAGAAAGCTTGCCTCTTGAGACCTTTGATTCTGTGAGTATATGCCCTATCATAGAGACAAATATAGTACTAGTTTCTATTCAAACAATGATTGTTTCATGAAACCGTCAATGTTGTCCAAAATAGTTAGTCATCTTGGCTCGCATTTCTTCTATTCTCAGTTTACCTATGCTGAAATACACCCATTGCTAACTTTGAAACCACAGATTTTAATTCTTGCAGATGAGTCAGTGGAGGACTCCATTGTACAATCAGATTCACGGTCCTTAGCTACACTTCTTCTAATTCGTGACGTTCAGGTAAGCAACAAGCAGCCTGGCTGTAGCATATACTCCCTCCGTTCGGAATTACTTGTCTCGGAAATGAATGCATCTAGAACTAAAATACATCTAGATACATCCATTTCTACGACAAGTAATTCCGAACGGAGGGAGTATAACTGACAGTGCACAGGTAGACGACCGCTGCATTACTGATATATACCTTCTTCTGTAGTCCAAACGTCTTCCGTCGAAGGAGTCAAAATCACCTCTACATCACAATGGCTTCTCTCACAGCTCCTGGATTCGGAAGATGCAGCATGCATCGGACAAATCAATAATAATCAGTGAGATACTGGACTCAAGAACTAGAAACCTTGTATCTGTCTCCAAAATCAGCGATTACGTCCTGTCAAATGAACTTGTCAGTATGGCATTAGCAATGGTAGCAGAAGACAAGCAAATCAACAGAGTTCTTGAGGAACTTTTTGCTGAGGAGGTACTATCTAAATTGTGACATAATTTTAATTGTGCTTTAATATTGCAATAACATGCTGTTTCCACAATCTATGTGTACAAGCCACACTTACCAGTTAACAATGACTTGAAGCATCTCTATTTAATGACGTACCAGATGATAGTTTTTAAAGTTAACTACCCAGTGAGTGACCTGCCTTAGATCTGACCCTGGTAATCCTGTGGTACAGGGCAACGAGATGTGCATACGGTCTGCTGAGTTTTACCTGTACGAACAAGAGGAGTTGAGTTTCCTGGACATAATGGTGAGGGCTCGTGAGAGAGACGAGATTGTGATCGGCTACCGGCTCGCAAACACCGATGAGGCAATCATTAATCCAGAGCACAAGTCGGAGATTAAGAAGTGGTCTCTGGACGACGTGTTTGTTGTGATCGCGAAAGGTGACTGACTAGTTTTTATAGTGTCATCTCACTTTTTTTGAAGTGCAAGTGTATACTATGATAGTAATAATAGTACAATACTAATCCATGCTAGCTGATAGAAACGATAACCGGGCAAAGCATATGTTGAAGTACAGTTGTGATCTCATCTCACCTGAGACATTGGCACTGAACATGTCGGTTCCTGTCGTCTCCGTGGCATTCAGTTCACCTCAACGTAGGTAACTTCGGGGCCCCAGCCAGAGGTTGTTGCTGATGAGTAAATAAGCAGTACAGTGGGTCCATGCAGTAGGAATAGCTTGTGATTCATGTTGTATTTTGTAAGCTCACGGCTAATTATTGAATCCATGATATGCTATATGCCATGCTGTGTTGATGTTCAAAGGAAATAGTGCATGCAGTGTATTCTGCGAAGGCTCCTGTAATTCTA